ATCAGCGCATATAATATCCTGGATATCAGGATCGAGAGACTAGCACATCTACACACTTATTAAATCCAGTCATAATTGTGTCATTTGTGTGTATATCCTTGTCAACATAAAAAAAGCTAGGTTCAAATAATAACCAGCTGCATGCAATGGCCGATGTAGCTGCCTATCCTACTTCTCATCAATAATAATCTCCCAAACAGGTTTGTTGTGGGTTTCGTCATCATTGAAATTTTGGGCTATCTCTCTTTTGCATTTCTCCACAGCCTCATATATGTAGCTCATAGAAGGCTTGTCACTATCAACCATGCGAAGGACTTTGATAAGAGGAAAAAATACCTTAAGAGCGCCCTTCACCCCTTGCCAAAAAGCCTTAAAAAGGATAATATCTCTCACCTTCTTACCAACCTGATCTTTAAACAACTTGCATGCTCTCCAATCATTGAAGGTAAACATCTGCCTCAACTGCACTCTCCTCAAATGTATACTATCTAGGCATAAGTACCAGGTCGCAAATCTCGTGACCACGGGCTTTACAATCTCTTTCTTCTTTGTAAAGCTACGCATCATGCTGAGGATGAGATGGTGGCTATAAATGAAATTTATAACTAACTTGGCCTTCTTCACTGCACCTGATATCTTGATTAAACTGCCAAGAGCCTCAAGCATGAGGTCTATACAATGTGCTGTACATGGTGTCCAAAAGAATTTAGGATAAGCTATGCGCAACAAATTAGCTGCAGCAACATTAGGAGCAGCGTTGTCTGTGACAACCTGTACAACAAGATGCTTCCCAACGTCCTTGATTCCCTTCTCTATAACTTGAAATATGTAATGGCATCATGGATATGATCAGAGGCATCAATAGACCTCAAAAAAACAGTCCCTAAAGGACAATTCACAAGCAAATTCATCTGACTTCTTCTCTTCCTATCACTCCAAGCATCAGTCATAATAGAAACCCCATACTGAGCCCATGCATCCTTCTTAACTTCTACAACTTCCTTCTTGACACTCACCGTGTTTTTTAAAAAAGGCTCTGAAAGCTCATATGGGGTTGGGGCTTTCATCCCAGGGCCAAATTAGCTAATTTCCTCTACTGCAGCATAGAAGATGCTTAAGCAAGCGGTATTGAAAGGAATGCCCGCCTCATAAAATCATGTAGCATGATAATAAGCAGCTCTATCTCTCTCTTCTTGATTTTATTTTCAATGGTGGTTTGCTTCTTTGTTTTCTCTTCTGCAACCTCAGGGTCAGGTCGAGGTAAAAAACTATCCATAGGCCCTCTAACCCGAGGCTTCTTAGTCCCAGAACCAAAACCAGAAGCAATTACAACTCCCTTCCCCTTTCCCCTAATAATGGATTGTTCAACCTCTTGACATCCCTCCCCAATTCTATCCTCATCACTATCATCATCATCATAATTGACCCGAACTCCAAACCTAATATCTGCTATAGAGGCAAATCTCTCATCTTTTTTCATTTTTACCATACTCAAAAAATTGTTTATTTCCTCTTTAATAGCATCAGGAGTGTTTTCACATGGGGTAAAATCCCCCCCTGATACCGGCAAGATGTTTCTTGAACCGGTTTATGCCCCATTTTGTATCCTTATCACAAAACTTGCATCTTATGCAATTTTTATCATTAGGATATGGATTATAGCTATATTTCCAAACGGGATCACCACTCCTATTAGATCCCAAAGAAGACATCTAAAAAATAATGCAATTTTCTAAAGTAATAAAAAAAATCACTCTGAGTTTGAGTGCTCAATCTTCAAACTTCCAAATCAAAGATGCTTTAGACTCAAAATCTTCTAAAAAAACCCCCAATAGATTTGTAAAATATCAAAAATTAAATCCAATATCAATGGGTGATATTTTGATCAATTTTTGTTAACTTTGAGAAACGCTTCGATCCTAAAGAATTCACCAAAAACTAGTGTTTTGGGGGCTTTCTCTATCTAAAATGGGCTCCAATAAGTTTTAGGTTTCAAATGAACCTAAAACCCAAAATTTTGGCTCTTTAGTACAAAAAAAATGGATAGAAAATGCCCCCATCGAAACCCCATTTCCACCTCTGGGTGGGGCGCAGGCCTTGGGTGGCCGCCCAAGACTGGGTGTTGGGCGCTTGCCTAGGCAGTCGCCTAGTTTGGCCGCCTAGGCGCTGGGCGGTCCACTTTTTGGATCATTGTATTTACAAGAACAAAGGAGACATACAAAATTGTGCAAACTATCAAGGGATCAAGCTTATGAGTCATACTATGAAGCTTTCAGAGAGGGTCATTGAGCAATGACTAAGGCATGAAACGAGTGTATCTGAAAAACCAATTTGGTTTTATGTCAGGAAGGTCAATAACTGAGGCTATTTTTCTACTTAGGCAACTGATTGAGAAGTTGAGGGTCAAGGAAAAAGACATCCACATAGTCTTTATTGATTTAGAGAAATCTTATGATTGAGTACCTCAAGATTTGATTTGGCGGGTGTTGGAAAAGAACGATGTCTCTAGAAACTACATCGACTTGGTGAGAGATATGTACGATGGAGCGCTAACTAGTGTACGAACAACTAGTAGAGAGACGATTGAGTTTTCAGTGATAATAGGTCTACATCAAGGGTGGGCATTGAGCCTGTACCTCTTTGTCTTAGTTATGGCCAACTTAACTAGGCACCTACAGGATGAGGTATCGTGGTGCATATTGTTCACAGATGACATAGTTTTGATTGATGAGACCCGAAACAGCATCAACACAAAGAACTTTGGAGGGATGCTTAAGAATCCGAAAGTTTTAAAATTAGCCGAACTAAGCCAAAGTATATGGAGTGCAAGTTTAGTAATAATAGGAGTAGAGATGAGGAAGTAGTCAAGATTGACGGCCAAGACGTACAAAAAAGACCACACTTTCGATATCTTGAGTCGATAATCCAGAAAAATGGAGAGATCAAGGAAGATGTCCCCACACAAAATTAGAGCTGGGTGGGCGAAGTAGAGATGTGCAAGTGGAATTTTATGTGATCGTCGCATACTAGTGAGGCTGAAGGGCAATTTCTATTGGACAATGGTGAGACCAGCTTTGCTCTATGGGGCGAAATGTTAGACGGACAAAAAAACTATACCCATAGAATGAGTGTAGCG